TCTACGTGCCATTTTAACAAAAAGCCACCAGTCTGATTTGATGGGACTTGATTCTCTCCTTGAATCCCATGGAGGATTCTTCAGGGAGCATGAACGACCACAACGCTCCACTCTGGGCCGCCGATTTCCCTCCGCTTTCTAGACTGTGCGGAAATGCATATGCCATCGCCCAGCCTCCCGGCAAATACTGGCATGCTGTAGACGGGGGATGTGCTCCCGCCGGGTCTCAGAAACATACGAGGATTTTAATTCTATGATTTCCGTGTAGGCAGAAAGGAGCAAGAGAAAGAAACTTTCAGGCAGCTCTCATCTGACATGAGGCGAGAATAAGCATGCGGAAACGGGTGCGGAGACACTAGCAGGCATCAGACCCTGTCTGAAATCATGTGTCTAGGTAGGGGTATAAACAGACGATGAGGAGTCTGTCTGGGGTTTTTTCTCTTCAAGAGAACAGAAAAAAAAAAAAAAAAAAAAAAAAAAAAAAAAAAAAAAAAAAAATCCTGCGCTAAGATCCAACTCTATATAAATCAAGCCTCTACAGCACATTCCAGAGGCTTGCTCTGCTTTTCCCAGAAAGACCATCTGTTAGAAAAATCTGGCTTGTCCTGGCAAATACATGCTGTTCCCTTACTGAGACTGTTCCGAGGCTGTCTCACCTTTTCCTCTTCCTATGCCACCCTCTTCTTTCCAGGTTCAATTTTCACAAGGTCTGGTCCACAGCTGAAAGTGTAAGGGGGCTCTGGCCCCTTAAGCAGGTTTGTTCTGTTTTCCACCAAGCAGAACCTTTAAGGTTTGTCCTAGGACAACCCTAACTCTCCAACTCTCACGCAGCCAAACGAGGCAGACCAAATTTCCAAATCAAACGTGTGAAGTCACCTACTCTTTCGTTTTGCAGAAAAACAAAAAAAACTCAGGTAAGGAGAGAGAAAGAGAAAAAGGAAAACAAAACAGATTCTGGATGTTACTATCCTTTCAAGACAGGAGTCAGAAGTGCTGGTGGGGCAGGGTCGTCGACGGTCAAGTAGAAGAGATCATCACGTGAAGTACTACGTTCTGGGCCATTTCTAGCACTGCCAGTAACAGCAGCTACTGGGCCCATCTGACCACTGAACACTTGAAATGTGGCTGGTTGCGGTAAGTGCTAAAATACATGCTAGAGTTTTAAGATTTAGCACCAAAAAAAAAAAAAAAAAAA